GGGCTCAAGCGAGTCTCCTGCCTCCGCCTCCCAAGTAGCTGGGACCACAGGCACCCGCCACAACGCCTGGCTATTTTTTTGTTGCAGCCATCATTGTTGTTTAGCAGGTCCGGGCTGGATTCGAACCTGCCACCTTGGGTGTACATGGCTGGCGCCTTAGCCACTTGAGCCACAGGTGCCAAGCCTTGAAGGCCATTTTCAATACTTTTGGGTAAAGTATCTACCTAGAAATGGAATTGAGGTTTCAGTGAGCTGGTTCTGGACACTTGATGTAACTCCTTAATTTTCTGAGGAACCAGATTGATTTCCCCCCAGAGGACTGGGGTGTGTCACTGTAGGCTTGAACCTGACCTGAGTGAGTTACTTACCCTCTCTGGGTCTCCATGTCTGCACCTGGAGGGAGAGGGTGCCTGGCTCTGGGGTAGAAATTAAGTGGAAGCTCTGATCCCTCTTAAGGGTGACATTTGTTCTCTGCACCCGTTCCCACCCACTCGGGCTCTGAGGAGGCTCCAGGTGCTCGTGGGCTGAGAGCAGCAGAGATGCCACCATGCAGAGAGAGCTCAGGCAAGCGGGCGTGACGCGTGGCAGAGCACACCATGCAGTTAAATGTGCTGCCTCGGTTGTGCCCCCAAAGAGCCTTAAAATAGCTAAGCTGGCTGGAAAAGCACCAGCCTCGGGGCTGGGCAGGGCAGCTCTCTGGCTGCTGACCAGGCCAGCAGGAGTATGAAGCCCCTCATCCTTCCATAGTGGGGTCTTCTCCCCACTTTACAGATGAGAAAACCAAGGCCCTGAGAAGCTGGTGCCAGGATGTTGGTGTGGCCCCTCCCCACTCTTCCTGCAAGCTCAGGTTTGGCTGGCTTTGTGTGAGCAGGAGTGGCTGGTGTCAGACTATGCAAGGGAGGGGCAGGACCCACAGCCAGAAGGGAGGAGGGACCTGCCATGGGAACAGGGTCCAGTCAAGGCTCCAGGCGGCCAGGACAGCATGGGCAGGGACAGTGCCAAGTGGTGTGACAATAAGCATGTTTTCCTGGCTGACTGTACCAGGCTGTACCAAGTTGGGGCAGGAGGCAGAAAGATGCCGGTTCTTGGTTCCTGCCTTCCCAGGGTTCCCACCATGGCCCAGGCCTCCCTCTGGGTGAGACCAGCCATCTGCCTTCCTCCCCGCCCACCTGTCCTCCTCCAAACTTGTGTGTGTTTTAGAGAAAGATGTCACAAAGCTTCCATAATAGTACTTTGGACATTATTTCAAGTTCAGATACTTGGTGTCCCCTGTTTTGCTAGAATAGCTCATTTATAGGTGTGCAGTGAAGTGTAAGCTGTGCCCCCAGGGAAACCCTGGGAAGGTCCTGCTCACAGGTGTCTGTTTACCTGGTGCTCCATGGGGCAGTTGTGCTGATGCTGTGACTGATGGTGGGTCCTTGGGCCCTGAGGTATCAGGAGGGGGTGTCAGTCACATCTGTGGGAGGGGCCTGAGGCTTGGGGAGCTGCCCCGGCTGGCAATCCTCCTGTGTGTGTCCACGTCGCGGCCCGGTGTGAGCTGCTGCTGTTGTGACTTTACTGGGAGCCCTGCATCTGTCTCCCCGTGGTGGTCTGTCTGTTGTCATAAACTGTACTGTGACAGTTTTGAAATTTTAGCTTTGCTGGGTCCTTTAGAGAATTACTGAACCTGAGGATGATCTTCAGGACCCTTGAACTGTGCAACAGGTATGAGCCTCTTTGTCAGAATACCTGCCCAGAGAGTTGTCACCTTCATCTCACACAGAAGAAAACTGAGGCTGTGGGGACGGGCTTAGGGTGTCACAGAAAACGCAGGGCTGGCTGTATGGAGGCTGCCTGGTGCCCCACACACACCCTGACAGCTGGAATGCAGGAACCCAACCTCCATTCCAGCCAAACCAAACAACCTACACGGATGTTCCCAACCAGTTTATTTGGCACCCATGCCCAACGGCTGCCTAGCATGGAGCTGGTTCCTATGGGTTTTCACTTTGGTTGGGCACTACAGGGTCACAGCTCCTACCAGGTAGAGAAATGTCAGCAAGGGGAGGAGAGAGGTGGCCTTTACCGTTAGAAGATGAGGTGGGCTGGGTTGGTGTGGCCACTGTCTGGGGTGGGGAGGGAGGGTTCCTCCATTTCAAACAGCAGGGACATAGGTTTGTGTTGAGAAGTACAGTGAAAGGCTTGTATACCAAAGTTTCTAGAAAAGGGGCTGTCCTTCACGAGAAGAGGGGGCGGGCCCAGCCGCAGGCCTCTGGGAGGTGGTCAGTCTCGGCCCACTGTGCACCAGGCAGCTAGAGAGAGCAGAGGGGGGAAGAGGTCAGAGGGTAGGGTAGTTAAATGTGCTGCCCTAGCCCTGGAGGTGAGGTAGGCTGCAGGGGCCACGGCCCCCTAAGCCTGCAAGGCAGAAGAGACATCCCCGAACTGGGGGGAGGCTGCCTGCACGGGGGGGGGCCTCAGCGAGAGAAAGGAGCAGAGCAAGGCTTCAGTCCTTTTGGGGTGATGTCATGGCTGCTGGGAAGGTGGGTGGAGGGGGCCCTGGGGCCATCTCACTGTGCCACTGGTCTCCATTCTGTAGCTGAAGGGCTACAAGGCTGGGTGCTCTTCTGGCTCCTGGGCCCTTCCTGCCCACCTGGCATTGATAGTGAGTTTATACTAGGGCAGATCCCTGGGAGTGGTGGCCCTAGCCCCAAGAGGTGGGACTGCCCAGCTTGCTGCTCGTGGGCTCTCCACCACCCCTGCCTCTACCTGGCACGGAGATCCTGGAGAGGCCCTCAGGCTGGCTCAGCGTGTCCACCTTGACGTGCCGGAATGCCTTGCACACAGGGCTCTGCAGGTGCCTGCAACCCGGGGGGGACACAGGTGAGTCAGAGGCTGATCTGGGGGCTCCAGGAGCCTCAAGGAGAGTTGCTGCCCCTGTGGGACCACTCCTAATCCCAGCTCAACACCAGGGCTCTGGGCCTTTGTGGGAGGAGACGGCTTGGCCCCAGGGAGGGCACCATACCCAAGGAGATAGCCTTTTCCCTCCCTCCCAGGGAGTGACTGCCGAAGGCAAGACTTTGAACAGAGGCCAGTGCCTGCCACACCCTGGGGGGGTGGTGGTGCAGCTATCATCTGCTTTGGACTGATGCTACATGGCTGCCTTAAGGAGTTTCAGTTCCCTGGTTCCAAGGCTTTAGGGAAGTAGGAGTAAGGAAAGAGACCCTGAGTCCTTCCCTGGGTCCCCAGCCTGTTAGCAAATTGTTTGGCAGGGAAGCAACCGCTGGGAACACAGCTGATAGTTCCTGATGAGAGCTGGAGAGTAGGGGTCTGGCACATGCGAAATGCTCAGGACCCTTGTGGAACTGCTCTGAGCAGGTGCCAGAGCCCTAGCTTGAGTTCGGTGGTGGCCACCAGAATGGATGTCTGCCTGCACAGTAAGCCCCCAGGACCACAGGGTGGGAGGGGTAACAGATCAGCCATTGATCAGGTGGGTACTGAGTTATCTGGCCTGTACCGGGCCTGAGATTCTGTACAACCTGAGGCAGAGCTGCGGCCCTCGATACTAGGCCAAAGATGGGAGGGTTTAGGGGGACAGAGAGGGGAACTGTGGGAAAGCAGGAGAACTTTTTTTTTTTGAGACGGAGCCTCAAGCTTTTCCCCTGGGCAGAGTGCCATGGCATCTCAGCTCACAGCAACCTCCAACTCCTGGGCTCAAGCGAGTCTCCTGCCTCCGCCTCCCAAGTAACTGGGACCACAGGCGCCTGCCACAACGCCCAGCTATTTTTTGGTTGCAGCTGTCATTGTTGTTTGGCGGGCCTGGGCTGGATTCTACCCTGCCACCTTAGGTGTATGTGGCTGGCGCCTTCCACTTGAGCCACAGGTGCCAAGCCGAGAACTTTCTTGAGGATGGCACTTGAACTGGGCCTCCGGGTTGGAATGGGGGAAAGGCTGGGGGTTGGAGAGGGGATTTTTAACCCTTAGAACAGCAGTTTTCACAGACAAGTATGTTCCAGCTGCATTAAAGCCTGACTGCATGGGATGTGAGTCCCCCAACTCTCCAAAACACTTGGCACCTGGATTATGCACACATTCAGCCAACTCCAGCAAGCATGATTGGGGGTGAGTATAGCTGGACTCTGTACCAGCCACGGCCCCCGCCTGGGCCCTCTCACCTCTTCCACTCCTCCTCTGTCTCCCAGAACTCGTAGACCACGAAGGTGAAGCCATCAGAGAGCCTCACAGCAGCAATGCTGTAAGGGGAGAGAGGGAGGGAGCTGTAGACTGAGGGCCACCCCTCTCCTGCTCCCTTGTCATGGGCTCTGCCCTGTAGCACACACAGGGACCTCTGTAACCCTTTTTTGCCTTCTCCCCACAGTTCCTAAACAAGCACTTGTCAGGGCAACTCCAGAGCTGAGATAACCTCAGAGTCGGGCAGGACAGAAGCTGGGGGCACCAGCTGGGTAGAAGACTCTGGTTCAGCACTGCAGCCCCAGCACCTGGAGTAAGCTGGCCCCATGTGAAATGCACTGGCATCATTTCAAAAATACCTTTAAAAATCACGGCAGCAGCGTCTCACTAGGCTCTTTGTACGCATTGTCTCAAAACACTCCCCTTGAGCGTCCCAGGCCTGGCAGGAGGACCGGGCCCCCATGACATGGGGCATACAGATCACCTTGTGCAGGGGGTAACTCAGGACTTCAAAAGAGAGGGGATGACATGGCTTTCTCCCTCCTGTTCAGCAGAAACAAACTCCCTGAGCAGAAGTCTGTTTAGGGAAAGCTCTGCTGGGGCAGCACAGCAAATTCCAGGCTTTGCCACACAGGGTGGCAGCAGGGAAATAAAGCCCCTGTTGGTATCATTAGGTGATTATGCTGAAATGACACATGGAGCTAGGGCCTCTTAAAGGGCAGGTGGAGGTGGGTATGACCTGGGACCCTATGCCATACAGGGAAAGTGCCCACTCTGGGTCTTTCAATCAATGGCACAGGGCACCCTGGGCTTGGTTCATCTAAGGGGGTTACTACAGAGTTGTCACAGCCCTTATGGTGACTGTATCAGCTCAGCTAATTATTTTGGGGAAGGGATGCCTTGGGACAGGTGCCACATACAGGGAAGACATGCAGTGTGGAAGCCCTGCGCCATGGGCTCTGGGACAGTGTTCATCCTGGAGGACCCCCCACCAGAGCTCCTCTCTCCCTGTCCTTCCTGGGGCAAGCACAGCATTCCGACTGTCACCTGGTATTTAATGGGCCCTGTGATGCCTTCCACCAACACACACACTCTCCAGCTCAGTAAAGGACTCTGGCTTCATCTGAGGCCAAAGAATCTGGAGTCCCTTCATCCTCACCATTTGCTTGGGAAGGAGGGGACTCTACCACCTTGTGCCATGGGCCACTGGCCCTTGTGGGATGAACATGAGGCCTCCCCAAGCGCTGCAGCAATGGTGAGCACCTCACCTTGGGCAGGAGTGGACCCTGCCCGCCACCCATGTCATCTCCTCTGCCTTGCTCTTGAGTTCTGTAGGCTGGGGTGCCTGGGCAGCCATAGCCCCCCACCTGAAAGCAGCCTTTTCTCCCGGGGTGTCTCCTTAGCACAAACTTTCTCCCACCTGGCACTGGGCTTCCTGGGGGAACAGTGGATTTTCAGGGGTGAGGGTGGCCTGCCACTCTGGGCCACTCACTGGAAGCAGCTCCTGGCTCCAGCAGTGCCTCGTAGGTACTGGCGCAGGGAGTCCAGGAACTCGCTCAGCTGCTCAGGGCACACGGCCATCTCCTGGCGGACCAGCTGGAGGTGCTGTGGGGCCAGAGCGCATGTGAGTGTGGGGACCCCAGGCCACCCCCTTGTCCCCCCCTAGTACCTGATGGGCTGACCCACTTGTCCTGTTCCCTCCTCTCCCCACTTTTCATTCCTCTACAAGAAAACAGGTTAAAGGACTAGAAAAAAAGCCAAATGCATAAAGTGTCCCCACAAATAGGGACCAGCAGACAAGGCTGATGAAAGGCTGAGTCCCCAAGATACAGCAAAACCAGTGGCCAACAGCGTCCCTGGTTGCTGTCCCCAGATTCTGATGGAATCTGCATTTGTGTGTTGTCCTGATCAGGCCAGGCTTTTTTGATCACAGTCCCCAGTGTCTCCGAAAACACCCCTGGGGGGTAGGGGCACGACTGCTGGGCCAGGGTGGGGCTGCATATGTCCGCGCAATGGTTCCAGGTGGGGCAGAGGCAGTGCGGTCAGGGACACCCAGCCATCTGGGTCTTGAGTGGCCTGGCTCAACAGGGAGTAGGGGGGGGAAGGGTCCTCACCATGTTGGTGCCTTCTTCATCGGAGAGGCGCTGCTGCAGATCAAACCACAGTGCCTGGAATGGTGACGCAGAGGGATGCTAGAGACAGGCCACCTCAGGACCCACCATGACGACGCTGGCACACTTGGGGCCACTACAGAGCTCCCCCCCCTCTACCCCAAGGTCCCAGGCCTTGGTCCACCGTCCATGTACAGTACTGGCTCAGAAGGGACCTGAGAAGGCAGAGCCAGGACAGCAGCCCTAGCAAGTGGCTGAGAATTCCTCCTGGCCCTGGTGTCTGGGACCACGGGAAGGCACAGAGGCCAAGCTGACCCACTGCCGTGGCCATAAAGGAGGTCCCTAGGTGTTCTGCTGTGGCAGGGAGGGCTTGAGAGGGGTAACAACAGGTATTAAGAGCCCCAAATCCAAGATGCTGGGTTTTGCCATAACCCTAAGATTTCCCCCATCAAGTTGCAGTTCACCCCAAATCATAAGCCCCGGTACCTCAATCTAACGGCCTGACTGGGGTGATCTGTTCTCTATGGCTTTAAGGTATTAAGAGCCCCAATTAAGAGCCCCAAATCCAAGATGCTGGGTTTTGCCATAACCCTAAGATTTCCCCCATCAAGTTGCAGCTCACCCCAAATCATAAGCCCCGGTACCTCAATCTAACGGCCTGACTGGGGTGATCTGTTCTCTATGGCTTTCCCTAGGCCTTGAGCTAAACTGTATACAAATATATCTTAATTTTCCCAGCTCTGGTAGCTGCTGCCCCTCTCTAAACTCCAGGGGAGCAGGAACCTTGATGTCGCTGTCACCCTTACCTGGTGCCTACGGAGGGCACCCAGTGAGGCTCAAACAGCCCTATTTCATACAGAGGACCTTGGCTCTGAGGGCACACAAGCTGGTGTCAGAGCCAAACACCCAGGATCATGATTCTTCTTTTAACTTGGGTACCCCAATAATTGACACCTGAGCTCCCATCCCTGTCTATCCTCTACCAGGATAGACTGTCTCTTCCTTATCACACAAGAGCACATGTGAAGGTCTGGCTGTTAAAGAAAACGGGGGGTGGGTGATCTGTGCAGTCCCCACCTCGAAATTATTAATATCCAAACTAGGGGGTCCTGCCTGTTCACTTCGCACCGGGCCCAATAGTAGGTTCTGACTGAAGAGCGTGCTTCGCTAGGTGGTGAAGGTGAGCCTAGTTTTACAACCATATACGTGGCTTTTGGAAGGCGAGAGCTACAGCTGCTTCCTTTTAGGTTCTCCCAGCCAGCAAAGCCATAAAAGATTGGGGGAAGGCAGGGCAGGACCCATATCTGCCCCATCCCTGTCCAGCCACCCCCAAGCTCCTCCATCCTCCTGGCCCAGGCGGAGACAGAAGGCGGCTCTGGTGACTGAGGAAGGCGGGGCCCAGAGCCAGGCCTCGGATTGGCCCCTGCTCGCAGCCCTGGCCAATCAGAGGCTAGAGAGAAGGGCCCCTCCCCGTCTCCAGGACGCCCAGGTGCTCCGTGGTTACCCACCAGCCTGGTTGTTAGGGCGACTGGGCGCTAAAAATAAGCTTCAAAGAGCCTCCCTCTGGAGGCACCCACCGAGTTGTTATGACAACCGGGCCACAGCGTCCCCCCCAGCCCTCCCGCAGCTGGCTTCAAGGTGGAGGGGGTCGACCCCACCTCTGCCTCACTCCTGCAAGGGGGAACCGCCTCCCTCCTCCCTCGGACTCTCCAGGTCACAGGCTTTGCTCCTCCTTGGGGGGAGCCCCTAGAATCCTTCAGCACTCAAACCTATCAAAATAGTAACGCCATTTGTAAAAGGTGTAAAGGAAATACGGGGAAGTAGAATGCATAAAAATCACCTCAAACACAGAGCTGTGAGATCTGTTACTTGGGTTATGGAGGTGGACAGTACGGTGTGTATGCATTGTATAGGTTTTGGTAAGAACGTGTAATAATTAATAACTTCACTTATACTGAAGGCTAACTATGGGGGACTCTGTACTAACAACTCATTAAGACATGATTTTGGCTGAGTGTGGTAGCTCACTCCTAACATTCTGGGAGGCTGAGGCAGGAGGATCATTTGAGTTTAGAAGTTCAAGACCAGCCTAAGCAAGAATGAGACGCAGTCTGTACTAAAAACAGAAAAAGTAGCCAGGCATTGTGGCAGATGCCTATAGTCCCAGCTACACAGGAGACTGAGGCAGGAAGATCACTTGAACCCAAGAGTCTAAGGTTGCTGTGAGCTATGATGCCACTGTACTGTAGCCTGGGGGCAGAGTGAGACTGTCTCAAAAAAAAAAAAAAAAAGACATTTTATTAAATCCTAAAAACATTCTATGAAGGTAGTATTCTCCTGATTATTTGCCATATCATCAGAGGAATCAGAAGCTTAGAGAGGGTAAGTCATTGGCCCCAGGCCACACAGCAATTAAATGGTACAGCCAGAACTCCAATGGGGACAGGCTGCTACCTGAGCCCATCTATCTGGAAGTGAAGACAAACTTTTTTTTTGAGACAGAGTCTCAAGCTGTCACCCTGGGTAGAGTTCCGTGATGTCATAGCTCACAGCAACCTCCAACTCTTGGGCTCAAGTGATCTTCTTCCTGCCTCAGTTTTTGTATTTTTAGTAGAGACAGGGTCTCACTTTTGCTCAGGCTAGTCTCGAACCTGTAAACTCAAGCTATCCACCTGCCTCGGCCTCCCAGAGTGCTAGGATTATGGGCGTGAGCCACCGCACCTGGCCAAACTTCTTTCTTCTGCCAGATGGTCATATCATGGGTACTCTACCAAGTCATGCAATTCTCTCTTGATTCTAGAGAGGCTGTGTCAAATTTTTTATTACCCATGTGCCACATTGTACTTGATAGACTTCCTGTTTGGGGTCATTTCATGGTTTCCAAGAGTCTCTCACTCATCCTGAAGCTGCCTCTTGTAGACCACTTACTCAAGGCCACTCACCTTATAGCAAAGCTATCTTTGCAGCTATGGCCCCTTGAAGCACCCGCTGGCCACTCTGCTCCTGCAGCTGCCCCTCTCACAGCCCCTTTTCCCTCTCCAGAGTGTGTGTCTCAGTTGTGTGCTGTGTGCTCTGTACCTCCACACTGGCTCCCTGATCCCTCTGCAGCCCTGACTTCTGTCCTCACTCTGCACTCCCTGGGAATGGGGAGGAGAGGAAGGATGAGGTGGGGGTGTGGCCAGGGCTCACCTTGTTCTCCAGCCTTCCAATCAGTTCTGCCAGCCGGGTGATCTGGGCTTCCAGGCCCTCCTCCTTTGAGTCCTCAGTGGCTGGCAAAGAGAAACAGATCCTGATGGTGGGAAGGGCCAGGCCTGTGGGAAGGAGGGACACTCCCAACCCTCCCAGGGGCCCCAAACCTATCTTCTGAGTCCCAGTCCCCATCAGAGAACTCTTAGAACTCAGTAACCTCCCCCCACACACAAAGTGTCATCCCCCACCCTGGGCCACTGCTCTCACCAGGCGGAAGGCTCTTTCCTTGTTCTGTGGCCATTAGCTTGTGGTTAGGGACATAGGGGGGAGCAGGGCTTCTGTACCAGGACTCCGCCTCGCCGTGGCTTGTTTTGCTGTGGTTCTGTCTGCAGCTTGAGTGGAGGAGACATAGGTCATGGAGCAGGTGCTGAGCCCTGACCACACCGAGTCACTGATAGGTGTTTATTAAGGACTGATTTGGGCTAAAATGTGCACAGGACTTGCCCCAGGGAACCCTATCCCTGAGAGGTGAGCATTTTTGCCTTTTTTACACAGGAGGAAATAAGGGTTACAAAGCAGGGGTCTTGGTCTTCAGGAGCCCAGTGCAGGGCTGGGATTTGAACTCAGCTGCCTCCTGGAACCCCACCCTGTTCCTGATTGAGTTCTAGGACCACAGCAGGCTCAGCCAGGCACCCACCCTTACCCCAGTAGCCCACTGCTATGCCCAGACACCTGCCCAAACTGTAGAGGTACCAAGTCTCCCTTCCTCTCTCTCTGCCTCCTGAGAAGCCATTTTGGTGTTTGGTGGCCACTGGGGTGGAGGACCTGAGTCTGCAAGACCCCCTCCCTGTATGGGACACACACAGGGGGCCCTAAGGGACGCTGGGAGTAGGAATATTAATAAGACAGAGAACTGTGATCCTGACATGGCCTTGCAGCTCCTGGTCCTGCACACCCCTCCCCCTATGCACGTTGCTATGCCCTGAGTGCCCTGACAGCCACACGCACCATGCCCTCCAAGTGCGGGACAGAGCAGGGACTCAACACATGTTCAGTGAATAGCCAAACCCTCACGTGCAGAAAGGTGCTGGGAAACTCACTGGACACACAGGAAACACACACCCACAAAGAGCGCCCTGTGCAGGCCCCACCCCGTCTGTGAGTGTTGCTGCCTGAGCCTGCGCTGGAATTTGTCTCCCATGAACCCTGCGAGCTCAGCCAAGCTCTCCCTGTGCTGAGGAAGAGAATCCCACTCCCCTGAGGATAGGAGGAAAAGGCTGGCAGAGTCTGAGGTGTCAATCACAGTATGTCTACAAAGCAGCAGCAAATTAAACACATCCCTCCAACCATGGGTTCCTCAGGGGCTTCTGGGTGGTGGGGTCTGAGCCAGCATCTTGGCCTGGGACATGCCATCCTGGGAGGCTGCACCAGGGCCAGGAGAGGGGATGGGCCTCTAGGACCTGTGGCCAGGAGCTGACACAGCTGAGAGCTGAGGAGGTTTGAGGTGGGGTATGGGTGGAGCAGCCGTATCTCTCCATAACCACCTACCACCCCCTCCACTAACATCCCAAAGTAAGGTCTCAGACGTGAGGGTGGGCAGGTATAACCACTGACACGCAATGGAGCTGGCACAGTGCAAAAAATTAGCTGTGAAACTGTGCAATGTTACTATCTGTTCTGTAGTAGAATAAAAATGGCAAGTTTTTGATCAAGATAACAAAAACACAAAGGTAATTGTCAGCTGGGGGACCCTCAGAATCATAGGACCGATCATAGAAGCAGAGTTCTGGGCTTTATTAGCAGGAAGTCTAACCAGTGGGTCTAGCTGGGGGCCCAGGAATCTGCATGTTGAATTTCCCAGGTGTTTAACCACAAGTGCTCCAAACAAACTCAAAATGTCACAGAACAACCTCCATAATCATATATGATTGGGACCAACTCCTCACCAACAAAAAACACAGGCTCAAACTCCCAGCCCAAAGCAGTCCAACATCCCAGCCTTGATGTTCTCTCTGCTGGGAAAATTCAAGGCCAGTAGAATCTGGGCACAGACACTTGGCTGTTGCTCCCATCTATTTGTATTTTTTCTTTTTCTTTCTTTTTTTTTTTTTTTTGAGACAGAGCCTCAAGCTGTCCCCCTTCATAGAGAGTGCCGTGCCATCACAGCTCACAGCAACCTCCAACTCCTGGTGGGCCCAGGCTGGGGATTCGAACCCGCCACCTTAGGTGTATGTGGCTGGCGCCTTAGCCACTTGAGCCACAGGCGCCGAGCCTCTTTTTCTTCTTAACACCAGGTACATAAGCTGTTCTAGGAAGGACTGGGCCAAGAGAGGGTTGTCTCAACTTGGGACAGCAAATGGGAGGGCTTGTCCCCCAAGAGGGGTACTGCTTAGCCCGAAGTAGAGCACTCCCCTTCCAGATGCCAGGTCATAGCCTCAACACGGCATCCACCATCCAAGAAGGGACCCCAGATGCTTTTCCCTGGTTCCTAGGACACAAGGCTCTATAGAACACTGAATAGCACTGTGAGGAAGTCACCCTATTTTCACCTGTCCCTAGAAAGTGTCCATTCAGTATAACCCTGGCCCCAATGCCTCTCTCAGTCTCTCCTTTTAAACAAAGGGGGAGCAGGACTCAGGATTCAACCTGGCTGTAGACACTACCACGTGCTTATTTTTACACTTACTTCATTATTTGTGCCATGTAATATTTTCCAATTAAGTAGCCATATGGTTTCCTAAATGTATTTCCAGTTTTAGAAAGTGGGCCAAACACACCCATGAAAAGCCGTTCATTGTCCATAGTCAGAGAAATGTAAGTCAAAACCTCTCTGAGATCATGTAAACCCAGTGAGAATGGTCCACATCACAAAGTAACAACACTGCAGATGCTGGCAGCGTGGGTGTGGAGAGGAGGGAACACTTATACAGGGTTGGTGGGACTACAAACTAATACAAATTCTTTGGCAAGAAGTATGGAGAATCCTCGAAGAGCTAAAAGTAGAACTTCTAATTGATCTTGCAATCCCATTACTAGGTATCTACCCAGAAGAAAATTTTATCACAAGGACACTTTCCCTTGGGTTTTATAGCAGTTCAATTCATAATCACCAAGATGTAGAAACAACCCAAGTGCCAGCAACCCATGGATGGATTAACTGTGGTATATATACACCATGGAATACTTGTCAGTCATGAAAAAGACAGATGTAGTGTCCTTTGTTACAACATGGGTGGATTTGGAGAACATCCTCCCAAGTATCTCACGAATGGAAAAGCAAGCACCTCATACACTCAATATTATTTTAAAACTAGTAGATGGACAACTATAGGCCCACATGAGGAAAAAATACAAACTTAGGGGGTACCTGTGGCTCAGTGGGTAGGGCACCGGCCCCATATACTGAGGGTGGCGGGTTTGAACCTGGCCCCGGCCAAACTGTAACAAAAAAATAGCCGGGTGTTGTGGCAGGGGCCTGTAGTCCCACATACTTGGGAGGCTGAGGCAAGAGAATTGCCTGAGCCCAGGAGTTGGAGGTTGCTGTGAGCTATGACACCATGGCACTCTACCAAGGGCAACAAAGTGAGACTCTGTGTCTAAAGAAAAAATACAAATTCGGCTCGGCGCCTGCGGCTCAAGTGGCTAAGGTGCCAGCCACATGCACCTAAGGTAGCAGGTTCAAATCCAGCCCAGGCCCACCAAACAACAATGATGGCTGCAACCAAAAATTAGCCAGGCATTGTGGTGGGCGCCTGTGGTCCCAGCTACTTGGGAGGAGGAGGCAGGAGACTCGCTGGAGCCCAGGAGTTGGAGGTTGCTGTGAGCTGTGATGCCATGGCACTCTACCCAGGGGGATAGCTTGAGGCTCTGTCTCAAAAAAAATATATATATACAAATTCAAGTATGGGGGAGGATGGAAGGGGCTAGGGGTACATGGTACCTCCTAGATGAACAACTCACCTACAACTCAGACCCTAGCTAACAAATGTAAACAATGTAATCCAATCATATGTCTCCTTATATTAATCCAAAATTAAATTTTTTAAAAGGTGAGCCAAATGATAGACCAGGTCTACATAAACAAGTGCCTGAAGATGTCATGAAAATGTTGCAAAATGGATCATTGTCTGGGCGATGTGTGCACCTACTATGTGTACACACACTAGGCATTCCTCTGAGCCTGTACCGTCTCACTCAACCCTGACAATGAGCACTGGGTGTGTGATCGTCCCCATGTTACAGCTGGAGAAAGGGAGGCACAGAGAGGGCAGCAACTTACAAAGGTCACCCAGCCCCCTCCCCAGCAGGCTGCAGCGTGTGCTGCACACCCCCACGTGACCCTACGGGGTCTCATCAACCCACCGGATCTGGCTGGTCTGCTCCTCGATGGCCTCCACCGCGCTCTCCACGGAGCTCAGCAGAGACTGGATCTGGTTGGCCGTCTCCTTCAGAAGGAAGCGGGTCACAAACTGGTCCACGTTGCTCCCTCCCTCGTATACCTGTGGGGGGGCAGTCAGGGGAATGGGGTTGGGAGGGAAATCGGACATGGGGTCTAGCACAGGCGCTGGGACAGCACCTGGGGTCTGTGACTTTGCCTAGAGTAGCAAGTGGGGACTCCCTCACCTCCTGAAGCTTGGAGGCCGTGCAGTCTCTAGTACGGGGCCTATAGACTCAGAGACCAAGGTCTGAACCCTGGTGTCACCACTTTCGAGCTCTGGGACCTCCCTGAGTATAACTAACTGGGTCACTGTATTGTCTACCTCCCAAGGCAGCAGTGAAGAGGAAGTGTCTGTACCAGTGGTTCTCAACCTTCCTAATGCCGCGGCCCTTTAATACAGTTCCTGTGGGTCACAACTCACAGGTTGAGAACCACTGGTCTATACGATGCTCTGCCCAGCACCTGTCATATAGCAAATAGGAGCCGTTGTGACGAAGAGGACAGTGGTGGGGTGGTAGTCTTGTTGCTCTGGCAGGGGTAAGGTATTAGGGACCATCTCCTCTGTCCCCGTCCTCCTCCAAGGAGGATTTTCTGGACCCCTGGGTCTTCATGCTGCTAACTCAGAAAAGACAGAGCAGAGTCAGGAGCAGAGTAAATTGACGCCTGCAGAAAGTCTCTGCGGCTCACAAATCAAGAAGTAGGGGGTGAGAGAGAAGTCTGGGGGGAAGAGAGGTTTAGCAGCTGCCACAAGAAGATAAAAGAGGGTTTTCTGTAAGGTTTACTCTGGTGTGGGGCAGAATTCTCCCCTTTGTTATGAGACATCGGCAGAGAAATTTCTCAAGGCTTTTGGTTCCCGTGCAGAATCTTTTGGCTGCAAAAGGCTTTACAGTGGAAGAGAGCAGGCTCTGGCTTATCCATGTCACTCAAGGACGAGATGATAGATATGACGCCGTGTGGAGGGGATCCGGATCTCCCAAGCCCTGTGCTGCTCTGCAGCCTCCTCTGCTAAGACTCTGCCTGCCTGAGCCACCTGCCCTGGGCATCTTGGAGTCCTGCCCAGCCCCTGGCAAGGCAGGAGAAAACAGGGCTCTCAAGGAAAGCAAATTAAATCATCCATCACTCTGACTGGGAATTAATTAGCAATAATTGCACAATGGGAGACATGGCTGCGAGGCAGACTGAGAAATAGACGTGGGGGAGGGACGTAGGGGACCACAGAGCAGGCAGGGAGGTGGACATCCTCCAGCAGCATCTGAGCAGCCGGAGCAGGGCCCACCGGACAGACCCTGAGGGACAAAGGATATTGAGTTCCAGCAACCTCATGTATTACAATGGCCCTATCATCCCTCTTAGCCGATGGTTAAAACCACACATGGTCCAGTGATCAAAGGACTCCAGACAGACCGGTGGCCAGAAATGAACAAGATATGACCCAGCAAAAAACTTAAACACAAAGAAAAAGGGTTTTAGAAGCAATCAAGCAGAAAAACGGGCTGAAGTGTGTTAAAAGCACTCAGACCAGCACCTGAGGACAGGATCAATAAGTGTTACTGATCAGCTGAATTCCCAGGAGGACAAGTTATTATCAAGGGGTGGAAAATGAAACTTCTACAGATTTCTCTTCTGCCACAATCAATGCCTCTGCCAGGAGACCAACCAGCTCCACAGATTCCAGAGGGAGAGGATCACACCTAGAAATTTCTACATCCAGAGGACAAGTTACTCATTTGCAGAATAGGGAAATAGTCAGAAATCTGTAAATCTGAGATGTTACCAGATGAGCACCTTTTCTGCAAAGCAAGCTTAAGAATTTCTCCTAAGTCAGCTAGGTTTGAATTAGAGAAAGAATTCTTTTTGGGGTTTTTTTGGGTTTGTTTTTCAGAGAAAGAATTCTTGAGTGGGGGAAGTTGTACAAAGATGTAATGGTGGTTGCTCAAATTCAACAGGAACGCTTTAGAGGTCAGGAAATCAGAACATCAACCACTAGTAGTTTAATTTCAGCTGTACTGGATTCAGTCAGACAAGCATGGAAAATAGAGACAAAAATCTTAAACAGTCCTTTTATTCCCAAATGGAAGAGAAAGTGTTTTTTATTAGCTAAGTATAAAGATCAGATTATTCTTCTTTAAGCAAAATGAAAACAAGGATGTTTTCATCTTCTACATCATAATCAAAGATCAACAGAGCAGACCATCACGGGTTCAAGACCAGCCTGATGAAGAGCAAGACCCCTTCTCTACTAAAAATAGAAAAACTAGGGCGGTGCCTATGGCTCAAAGGAGTAGGGTGCCAGCCCCATATGCTGGAGGTGGCAGGTTCAAACCCAGCCCCGGCCAAAATCTGCAAAACAAACGAACAAACAAAACTATCCAGGCATAGGGGCAGGTGCCTGTAATCCCAGCTACTCAGGAGACTGAGGCAAGAAGATTGCTTGAGCTCAGGAGTTTGAGGTTGCTGGGAGGCCACAGCACTCTAACCCAGGATGACAGAGTGAGACTCTGTCTCAAAAAAAAAGTGAAATGTAAGAGAGATGAAGGCATAAATTGTAACAGCAGTCAGACCAGACAGAATAATCTTACCAATAAAAAATGTAGCCTGAATTTCCCCATGTAAGGAGACTCAGCCTCAGACTGGATTAAGTAAGATCCACCCAGCAGCTCACAAAACATTTATAAAGAAAAGCCCGAGCAACGCAACCACACTGCGGTGGAACTTGATCAAAGGAGCACAAGTTGTAAGATGGCTATCTGGTTAGAATTTAAATGAGACAGTATCACACAAGATGAGGACGGCAGGAATACAATGACAAAGACATGAAGCACCAATGAGGACGTGACATCACTCATAGCTGCAGCTTTGTGACGTCCATGGACACAGACGTGTCCTAAAGCAACTGTGCTACATATTCAGACCTTATTTAACCGGCTCCTATTTCTTTAACCCAGCAATTCCACAGTTCTGATAATCTATCCTTAAGATTAGTGCAAATGTATACAAGTATGCATGCCCCAGGGTAGTATAGTTATTACTCATAATAGCAAAAACTGCAAAGTAATCTAACATACACAATAACAGAGGAAAAATAAGTTCATCTAAGTAATGTTTAAAACGATGCCTTGGGACAGCTTTACTAACACAGGAAAAGCGTTAAGATATCAGGCCAAGAGGCAGGAAATAAATTTGTATACACAGATTATAAATATTAAGGAAATATACTTAAAAAAGATGCAAAGATAATAAACTAAAACATTAATGCGTAGGGATGGTGGGAATTAGAAGGGATTTGAAGATTACACTTTTCTCTACTTCCTACATTTTACATATTAAATACGTACTATACCATTTACATAAAATACACCAGCAGTCTATATACAAACATGGATAAAAATATAGAAAAGAAAAACATTAGAAATACAAAGATTACGTGGCAAAACATTTCAGTCTAAGAAATTAGCTTATCAACGTCTCAGGACAGATAAATTAGATAATAAATATGGCATTATCAGGAAAAATAGTGAAAGTCCTTGAAATGGGCAGAAAAATTCTTGGGTTTCTTATCTAGAAAACTTTCCTTAGTCTTTCCATGTTTTTGAGCTGCTTTTAAAACTCTGTTAAGCTGTAGAAAATTTATAATAATTCAAATAAATCTCTTCAACAGGAAGGCATTTGAATTTTGTCTGGCACAATGTAATCAATTGTTGTGTTATATAGCGACCGGCTTTACATTTATTCATAAGTTCATTTCAGAATACTTGTGGAAGAGACACAATTTTAAAAAGTACCACATTTCATAACAAAAAAGGATAGTATTTTCAGATTTGACATTCTGCAACCACAATCCACATCTTCAAGCATCCGTGAGATAATTTTACATAACGAAGATAACTTAATTCATTTAAAAAAAAGAAAAAAAACAGAAACCTCAGTGACCATTTGGTTTTATCATAACACAATCAAATGAGAAATGAATGAGGAGAACAGAGACCACTCAAGGAATACTGAGAATCAATATACTACCCATTAAAATCTATGATAGCCATGAAAATATCAAAGGTGAATTTTTAAAAATTTGAAACTTTAATATAAAAAAGTAAACATTCCAGGGCCAGGCGGTGACTCATACCTGTAATCCCAACACCCTGGGAGGCCGAGGCATGTGGATTGCCTGAGCTCACAAAAAGTGAGACCTGGGCAGCGCTTGTGGCTCAATGAGCAGGGTGCCAGCCCCATAAACCAGAGGTGGCAGGTTCAAACCTGGCCCTGGCCAAAAACAAAAACTGCAAAAAAAAAAAAAAAAAAAAAAAGGGAGACCCTGTCTCTACTAAACATAGAAAAACTGAGGCAAGAGGATCACTGGAGCCTGAGTTGGAGGTTGTTGTGAGCTATGATGCCATGGTACTCTACCCAGGGCGACAGCTTGAGACTCTGTCTCAAAAAATAAAACAAAAACATTTGTTCCATTTTACATGTGAAAAAGGACAGCAACCACAACAAACTCAAGAGGAAGAAAAAAAGTAATGAAAGGAACTAAATTAGATAACAGACCATGAAATGTAAGTAGGTGTGCCAGGAGTCAGTTACTAGAAATGGCTAATTAAAACAGGCACAATTTTAAGGTGTAGGAAAATAGTGTAAAATTTAAAATAAGACCTAAGCTATAGCAGTACATATATTATTGAACATAATCTGTTGAGTGCCTGTTTTGTATCAAATAAGATTTTGGATTTTGAGAATTATAAGAGCACACTATACATAATTGATTTTAGAGGTGAGCATGTCTGGGGAGATTTTGTTCAATATACGAAAATGGGCGGGATGCGGTGGCTCATGCCTGTAATCCCAGCACTTTGGGAGGCTGAGGTAGGAGGATCGCTTGAGGCCAAAAATTTGAGATTGCCTTGGACAACATAGCAAGACTCTGTCTCTACAAAAAATAGAAAACTTAACTGGGTATTGTGATGGGCACCTGTGGTCCCAGCTGCATGGGAGGCTGAGGCAGGAGGATCCCTTGAGCCAAGGAGTTCAGGTTTTAATCAGCTAGGATGACGCCACTGCCCTCTATTTGGGGCAACAGAGAGAGATTCTACCTTACAAAAAACCCCTCATAAAAGAAAAATGAACACAAAAAGCGAAAAGCTTGACTCAAATTAGAGTTGACCTTAATTATGAAAATAATCTCCTCCCCTATTTAATACCTTGACCCAAGACTTGTGGATAAATTCTATTTCTGAACAGGAAAAGGAGTCTGTGAGAAAAGGTGAATCACACGGAGAAAACATTCTAGACCATCTCACAAATCATTCCCAAACTAACATCCGATCTTAATTCCCAACGGAGACAGAGAGATAAAAAACGCTCAGCTGGTGACAAGGATTCAGCAATGTGATAAAAGAATAATGTATCAATTAGAGTTTATCGCAGGGAGCTGAGGATTGTTCAATAGGAGAGAATCTAAAAATAGAATCCACCCCATCAATAGCTTAGGAAAAAAAAAAAATCATACGATCATATAAAAATACCCAAAAGGCATTTGAAAAAATTCACTACCACCTCCTAAGACAAAACCGAACAAAGGAAATACAAAAATATTTCTCCAACATGCTGAAGAGGATTCTAAAATAGGAGTTGGTATTAATATCATAATTAGTGGAGAGATACTAGAGAGAGACACTTCAAGATCGGGAGCTAATCAAGCCTGCCTGGCCCGGCCCAGGCACAGGGTTTTAGAATTCAGAGAATATGTAGACGGCTTGATAGGCGAGAAGAGAAACACGGGTTAGAAACACAGAGATGGTGCCACTAGGTCACAAAGAAGCTGTGGCTGCGTCTCAACAGCAGCCAAGGAGGCAACTAGAATCCACGGGCACAAGAAAAGCACGTGAAATACCCACCAAGCAGCTGGCAGTTTACAAAAGACGACCAGTTAGAAAACGCACAAGAAAAAGCCCCAGTCCCCACTGTGACAACCAACCTACTAGCACCACCACTAAAAACCCACCAAAGACCACCCTGCCAAGCCACGCGTGTGACGTCCCAGAGCCAAGTCTGACACTGGACTAGCAGACACCTCTCCTTGATGGAGAACTAGTCACCAACCGAAGAACAAGGTGGCACCACGGTGTAAGCAACACCTCGCGGCAGCATCTCTCAGAGCCGCCCATTCCCAGATGAGAAGGGTAAAGTTTGGGGAGGGGTTTATTGCACAGGGTCACCCAGGGGCATGTGGTGCACCCACACGGCCCTGTCAGGAGCAGACAAGAAGACACCCTTGTCTGGTGACTCGGGGCCCCTGGATCTTTCCACACTCCCTTCTGATCCCCTGCCCAACTCGGCACTTCAGGAAATCACATGATATTCTGCAAAGACAGCCTAGGGAGTGGGTCTTATACGCTAGTAAACATGCTTTAGGGGCGGTGCCTGTGGCTCAGTGGGTAGGGTGCTGGCCCCATATACCAAGGGTGGCAGGTTCAAACCCAGCCCTGGCCAAACTGCAACAAAAACATGCTTTAAGACAGCGAGACTCAAAACGGTGTGATGCCAGACTGGAAGGAAGACTGGTGGCAGCTTGGGAGGAGGCCTGGCTGGTTTTGGATATATGGGGATGGTGAGAAAGGGATTCTCTGTGACAGGCAGCCAAGTGCCTGCGCAGCAACTGCGGACCCCATGGAGTTGGTCTCACCCTGTATCAGGGCGGGCAGACAACAGGAGCCTGAGGGTAAAAGCCAGAAGCTGCTGTGTTCTGTGCCAGGCCCTGTGCTAAGCAGCTTAGAGATCTTACTTGGTTCATTCCTTTCAAGGACTGTTGAAGGTAGATGCTCCCGTTTCACAGATGAAAAAACTGAGGCTCAGAAAGAGACATGTCAGGCTCCCTCCACCCCTCCAGCCAGGTCTGGCTGACTTTATTGGCTGAGCTCCCAGGCTGCTGCCTCCTCCTTGGCAAGTGGCTCAGGTTTCTCTTCAAAGCTCAGGGTGTATCTGTGTGTCCCAGGCCCTTGCCTGCTCCCTCCCTGTGGACCTGGTCAGTGAGCCCATGGGCAGGCCTGGAGTCCAAGTCCATGCTGCACCACACTTCTTGCCAGGTTTCTGACTCAGTCTCCCCTCTCATCCCGGCCAGCGGCTACGGCCACCGACTCCACCCACTGACCTTCTTGGTGTAGCCCATGGCCTTCAGGACAGAGTGATTCAGGGTCTCCAGGGAGGCCAAGACGTCCTCATAGTCCCCCATGTGGTCCACGAAGTAATCTGGCAAAAGGAGGGCAGAGGTCAGGTGTCACAGCACCCTGTCCCTCCCCCAGGGCCTCTCCCCTCCTCCAGCCCTTGTCCCCCCGCCCCACCCTGCACTCCCATCTTCGTCTCTGTATAATCATGCACCTACCACACAACTCCTTGGTGTCCACATGGCTGCAGAGAAGCGGGGGGGAGATGACAGAGATGGGGTCAGCAAGCACAGCCCACACCGCCCGTAAAGCAGGCACCACACTACACCCACTTTTCAGGGGCTGGCACCATAAGCCCCACCTTTGTAGATGAGGGGACAGCAGGCAAAAGGACTGAACAGGGACCAATTCTGTTTCCCCACATTTCTTTTTTCACTCCTAAAGTTGGCTGATCACATTGTAGCTAGATGGGACCAAGGGCAAGGCCGGGCCAGGGTCAGGAAAGGGCAGGAGGCGGCACTACAACCATTAGGGACGGAACAAAATTGGCTTCTATGCTCCACCCCTGTGCAGGCCTGTCTGCTGGGGCTGGGGTCTACATCCCTGCTCCTACAGCGGGTGAAGGGGCTGCTGTCTCTCAGGAAAGTAGCTGAGTGGGAAAGCGGTCTTAATGATGAAGGAGGAGCACACGGCAGCTTGAGATCAAGGTGCCAAGCTGGGGCGAATAGGGGCAGCTCTGATGACTGCCCCCCCCCCATCCCAGGGAGGAGAGGGTGGACCTAGAACAGTGTGTGCTCAGTGGAACCCAAGTTCAAGAAGCCTCCAGACACAAGGTCTCTGTGGTCAAGTAAACTTGGGCTTTGCCTGCTCTGTCTTAGAGGCTCCTCAATTTACATCGCATATTCAGAGTCCTGACAAGTCCCGCAGAAAACCACCCTATAATTTTGCTTAAACTAGCATTTCAAAAATCTGATTCACTGTTTTGTAAATTTTTTGGGCAGAAAGCCAACTTAGCATCCAAGGAGCTAACATTTGTAGCTTTGGGGAATGTCGGAGAAAATATTCCTAAAGGTCTTCAGAGTTTCTACCTTCAGCAATGATGAGGGGGCCGCATCCCCAGCCACCCACTCTCAAGGTTAAGCTTTCAAACCAATGCCTCCTCTGCTCCCTCCACCTCCACCCTGCTGGCCCCACACAAAGGCACCGAAAGAGAATGAATAAATCAGTGGGCACCTGCCTCTGCCCCTTCAAAGCTCCCCAGGAGGCTGCAGAACAAGCTCAGAAACCTCCATCTGGCTCCAGAAACAAAGCTCTCTGCTCCAGAGCCTGCAGCCTGAAGCCCTATCTTCAAAGTGGCCTTTCTCAGAGAAAGATGCCTGCTCCATCTGCCCCATCCCAGTCCCCAGCCAGCCACTGTCCAGGCACCACACTCCTGGATTCCTTGCAAACTGGCTTGGTGGTTAACACCTTTTCCAGACCATTTCTAGCCAGTCTCAAGGGATCCCAGCTTCTCAAATCTGCCCCAAGCAGAGCCCCCAGAAACTGTTATTGCTTGAGAGCCTGATGGAGGTGACCAGCTGGGGCTGAGCAGGGGGCTCAGACCTAGCCTGTCCCAGGAATCCTGAGGAAAAGGGACTGGAGGTGAGTTTGGGGAAAGGTCAGAGCTAAGTTCAGGCAGAATGTGCATTTTGCACATGATACAGAGATGGATTGGAGCCAAGGTTTTTGGCTGATCCTGAAATGCAGGTTAGGCTTAGGTTGAGGAAAAGTTTAATTAGGTACAGCAGCAGAAGCAGCATTCAGGTTAGAGCCAGGATTAGCATTTAGTTTCAGTTTGGTTTCAAACAGGGTCAACGGTAAGATGAGACTCAACCAGAGAGTTCATGCTGGGATTGGGAGAAGGCACTGGTTTGGGGGTTTTAGAACTGGGTTGGGTGAGCAGAAAGATGAGATTCCTGCCAATGTCCCATTATCCTGAGTTCACTGTGCAAAGTTGGGGGTTTCGGCTCCTCATGCCTGTAATCCTAGCACTCTGGGGGGCTGAGGCAGGAGGATCCCTTGAGCTTAGGAGTTTGAAACCAGCCTGAGCAAGAGGAAGACCCTGACTGTACTAAAAACAGAAAAATTAGCCGAGCCTGGTGGCAGGTGCCTGTAGTCACAGCTACTTGGGAGGCTAAGGCAAGAGGACTGTTTGAGCCTAAGAGTTTGAGGTTGCTGCAAGCTATGATGATGCCATTGCACTGTAGCCTGGGCAACAGAGCAGGACTATCCCCAAAACAAAACAAACCCAGGGTGAGGAAGGTGGGCGTCTCTCCTTGGCCATGTGCTCAGAAAAGACCAACTTGGGGCAGTAGCCACTGCGATATCAGTCTGCTTGCTCCTGAGATCACCCTGGGCAGCGAAGGCCAAAGAGACTCTTGGACTAGCAAGTTTGGGGATTTTCAGGTCTCCTGCCCGCCCCCTACAGGGGCCCGGGAAGTGAAGACTCCACAGACCCACGCACACCCTGCTCCATGCAGGGCTCAGGCTCACTTGGTGTTGTCAGAATCGATCGTGTGAAAGAGACCCTCCAGTTCCTTCTCGTTGAGGACGCCATCTGCAAAGAAGAGCTGGAATTCCTCCAAGGACAGCTTCCCATCATCTGTGAGGAAGGGAGACGGGAAAGCGGCTGGCGGGGCCGGCTCAGCCCCCAATTCAGGCAATTCCCCGATCAACTAATCAACCCCAGCTCAGATAATCCCTCCCCACTCAGCCAATTCTCAAACCAACAGATAACCCCATTTTAGATAATCCCTGCCCACCCAGCTAATTCCCCAATTAACCAGGAAACTCCAGTTCAGAGAATTGCTGACTCATCCAGCTAATTCCTGAATGACAGACCAATGCCTACTTCAGATAATCCCAAACCACCAAATAACACAAGCATGGCAAGTTTGCTGGGGTGCACCACGTCCAGGGTATTTCAAATGTTTTACAGTACCTAGGGAGTATCTACCAGATCTCCCACTCCATTTATACGACCACCTGGAGGGAGGTGCTATTAAGGCATCCTGATTATAGTAACTTGCCCAATGTGACGCCACCGGGAAGAGGTGGCTCTGAAGGCCAGGCAGTCGGACGGACCACTGCCCTGTTGTTTCCAAATGCCCAGACGGTCTCTCCTCACATGTCCATCTCCAACCCCGGCACCTGAACCCCGACTGTGGGAGAAGGCATCACCTCTCTCTTCTCTGCCCCATCCACGCTGCCAATTTTAGGCTTTCTAGCAGTTTCACGGGAGACACCTGTGACAGTTGGGATGGAGCACTCACTCTTACCCAGGGGTCCTCAAACTTTTTAAACAGGGGGCCAGTTCACTGACCCTCAAATCATTGGAGGGCCGGACTGCAGGCCCCGGGGCGAGTCGGCTGCTAAGCAGGACAGGCAGTGGTGGCAAAAACACCCAGCAGGCCAGATAAATGTCCTAAGTGGGCTGCATGTGGCCCGCAGGCGGTAGTTTGAGGACACCTGCTTACCTCTTGTGTCAAGCTATGAATGTAGCCACCAAGATGCCAAAGAGCTGCCAAGCCTGGCCTGGGCCAAGCACTGCCCCCCTCTGTTTGGGCTGAGCTCCATGGGAAAAGCCCCCACAGCCAACACGTGTCACCTGTCCCAGCCACTCCCCTCTCTGTGGCTGTTCTGGGTATCTGCTGGGGACACTTGTGGCCCCACCCAGGAAGGTCCTGTGGGTTTGTGTCAGACTGGGCCACAGGGGAGGTGGCTCAAGCAGAACATCAGTGACTGCAAGAGAGGGCAGCCCCCAAACTCCAGCAAGCCAGGGCCCCCACCTGCCCTGCTGTCACCCCCTCCTTGAGAACCTAAGAACGGTCCCTGCTCCTCCATCAGGGATGCTAAGGAGAGGCAGTGGAGGTCAGGGAGAAAGGGGAGCCCGTGGCATTTCCTGGCCCCCAGCCCCCCCCTTCCATGAGGTCAACAGAGTTGGTAAATCAAAGCCAGAGCTAGGGACAAGGACCCCTGTGAGTCTACTCGGCACCTTCTGGCAGATTAGAAAGACTTGCTCTTTTCTCCCGTGGGGGGCTGGAGCCCAGCGACAGGGCACGTGGCCCAGCAGCCTGGACTTGTGCCCTTGTGCAGGGGGCACAGCCTGCCCAACCACACACAGCAGACCCACTAGGGCATCATTCTTATACTAGTTTAAAGGCTCTGGTGCTTCTGTCCCTGCTCAAAGCAGGGAGAGGAGCTCAGGAGAGGGGCATCCTTAGGCTCTGCCCTGGTTTCACATCTTCTCTCTGGCCCCCAAAGGCATAAAATATCAGGGGCCAGGAGAGAGAGACATAAATGGCCCAGCTCCAATTCCAATGTCACAGAGGAAGAAGGGATACCTAACTTCCAAAAACAAGACCAACACCCCCAAAGCACCCCCACACACACACGAAGACCCCCAAACCAACCAACTTGGAAAGTCCACAAAATCTGTTGTAGTACATGCGAAATCCAAGCTGTTACTCTTTGTATTTGAGAGCAAAGGCCAGGCCCAGGTGCTTCAGCAGCCTGAAGATAAAACCTATATAGGCACAGTGGCTCACACCTGTGATCCCAGCATGGGAGGCTGAGGTGGTCGGACTACGAATTCCAGACCAGTCTGAGCAAGAGTGAGACCCCTGACTCTAAAAAATAGCTGGGCATTTGTGGTGGGTGCCTGTAGTCCCAGCTACTTGGGAGGCTGAGGCAAAAGGATCACTTAAGCCCAAGAGTTTGAGGTTGCTGTGAGCTATGACGCCACAGCTCTACTGCGGGCAACAAAGTGAGACTCTGTCTCAAACAAAACCCAGGAGCCACACAGATGCAGGGTCACGGCAAACACGCAGGGGCTTCCTGTTTGTTCAGTCTTTTAGTCTTCATAACACCCCCATTTTAGAGAGGAGTTAGCTGAGGCAGGGGCCATTAGGGGATTTTCCCAGGTCCTACAGCTGGAGAGGTCTTCGTCTACCCAGCATGTGGTAGGGGAGACCCCCAGCCTCCCTCTGGCCACCTCACCTCACCTCCTCATGGCTGTCCAGGC